CATGCGGTAGAAAACTGGTACTTTTGGATATGTACTGAATGTATCGCTTGAAGGCATTGGTCAGAAACTGGCTTATCTGAATAACTTTACAAGGAGGTCTCGATACATCTCCAGATAGTTCAAACTGCCGAAAAAATGAGGTTTTTCTCCGGGGCATTTCAGTCAGCCAGTAATGAAATCCTTGCGTAGGACTAACAGCCTTATGGATTAATCGGAATGCTTGATTTGTTTAGTCAGAGAATTCAAGTTGAATTTGATACATAGAGTGATGCTAGAAACTAGTCGAGACGAGAGGCAACAGTGCTGAACACTGATGTGCTGTAGATGATAATGACGTAATTCCTTCCAACTCACGGAAAAACAGATGAAACTCATTTAACATGACGGTGGCAAGAGTTCATCGAACATCACTCAGGTACTCGTAGCGGTATCAACTTACCAACTGACACGTTCTCCGTCAATACTAGAAATACCACGCGCTAACTCATAACGTCCAGGGCAAGAAAGCAATAGACGCATCGGCCAATCCAACGAAACACCAGGTTGCATATTTTCATCCGCAACTGCGGCAGCTTCTTCACGACAGGCATCCAGAATCCAGTCGGTGTGCAACAGAGGAACGCGACCTAGTGTCGCTAGCGCCTGAAAGTATTTGAGAGTTCGACAGCACTCAGGAGCGACAAGTGCCACATTTGTTGTCGATTGCCTGGAACTCGACTGCGCATCACTACCAAGGATGGGACTGTCACCGGCATCCGGTCTGGATCGAAGGAAAGGGACTATTTGTGTGATGATTTCACCACCACAGGCAACTACCAACTGTTCCAGAATATTACGTCCTCCTTGTCCTAAAAAGTATGGGAAAGAGGACATAGTAAATCAGAGAAGGTAATGGGAGCTGAGGTCGCTGACGAGGGAAGTGCGAATGAAAATATGATGTTTTGTCCTGTCTACTGGGACATGCTCAAGAAGGCCTTGTAATGTAGAAGTCTTTTTTGGACACATTCAGCCAGATTTTGTGTGCTTTCAAAAACAGTTGTTCATTATGATATGTTCAACAGTCTTCGAATTCTGTACCCAGTATTCCAGTGCTTCAACCGTGGAAATACATTCAGACAACATCTGAGTTAAGGTAATAACTTCGTTTCATATCTCTGACCGTGGACTATCGTAGCGGACCAAACAAGAAAGAGCGAAAATAAGGCTACTTATGGGAAGGAAGTGCCTAATAGAAGATAAAAAAAGAGAGGGGGCATCACAAACACCTTACAGTAAAAATCTCATCAAGACTGAATGGGAAACAGAAGCAGGTAATACGCAGTATGTTGCCTCATGTATAAAAATCGGCTGGCTTTTTTAACCGGCCAATATAGCCGCCTAAATGTTGTTTCGATGAAACGGCAATGACCGAATTCGACTGATACAGTGCTTATAGGTTTCGGAAGCTACAGGACAGTTACAACGAACGGATGTTAGTGACGTAGAGGTTGGCTTGCGACTGGCGTTCCTCTAACGTCTTGGAAATAGTACCATTCCTGGAGGCTTTCAAAGGACTACTGATTCACAGTACCGGAACCAGAAGGTCGTTATAAAATACCAGAAACAAAATAATGATGAGAGAACAAATTGTCAGC